TGGTTCCTCGTGAATTATTTTATATATATTTATATATAGCCTTACCGCAGCAAATGACTGAAAACGAGAAGGAAATTTTGGATAAAAATTTATACATTTTGCTTGAAACTAGTTTTTTATTAATATATATGTATGTGAAAAAATTAACCATAAGCAATTAGTATACTTAATTTTGGAGAAAAAATAACACGAAACATTACGGGATGAGAATGAATCAATATTACTGAAGGAGCAGTTTCAGTCACAACTGGTGCAAAACAATCACTTTCGTCTTTCAGTCTTAACTAAATAAATAGATTTTTTTGTTCCCGTCTAGTTCTTTAATCATGTACCAACCATTGCAACAGGTTACTTAGAATGTTTCTGAATAGAACAAAGAGAACTTAACTACTGACTGGACTATTTAAGATATGTATTGGGGAGGAAAATGTAACAAAAAAGTATTTGTCCTGTAAAATCCAGCCACGAAAAATATATTGATTATGGTATAAGCATTCCATTTGTATACGTACCAGCATGGTTTCACAATTCATTTACGCCAGTTAATTCTCAAGCATAGTGATAATTAATAATTACCACCAAATTTACACGAGCTTCTATGGCACAATTCAAATATCGAGAAGAAAATCTGTTTGCCAAATTTATTGTTAGAACGACGTCATTCTGTGAATGCATTTTTCAAACCATTTTGGGTTAGTAGATTTCGTTACAGAGCGACATCAATCAGTGAAACATTGAGGTTATAAAATACATTGAACAGCTGTTCACAGGATTTCATCATGAGCTGACATTGGTTAGGGAACCATCGGAAAACCTGAGAATGCTGGACAGCTGTTTCGTCCTAGTCTGGGACTCTTCATCAGTACGCAACCACCGGGGTTCGAACCCAGGACCTTCTGGTTAGAAGGCAAGCTCGTAGACCATTAAGCCACTGGGACTCGATTCAATGGCTTATGAACCCAAGTGGATGCGTACTGCAGATGATTCCCAAACTAGGATGAAATAGTTGTCCAGTACTCCCTGGTTTTCAATGGTTCTCTAACTGATATCAGTTCGTGGTCAAACTCGTAAAAACAAATCTAATCCTTGCAAACCAACTCTTGAAAATTAAATTTTGTTTACAACATAAATTCAAAAACACTAAGGACTACCCCGATGAATCAAAAATTCCGAATGGTGCAATGCTCTAGTAGTCTGTGTTCAGTAAACAAATTTCTTCTCTAAAATCACTTTTAAAGTGAATAATTTACCCTGTGGTTATGCTAACAAACACTTGCGTGACGCTTTACTTATGATGCTCAAAGAAAACTATAATAGGCTCTATTTCATGCCAGCATCTGGTTTAAGATATCATTTTTCTCTTCTGAGAACTAATTGCATCTGTCACTTTGTGCAGTGCCTTTAATTGAGTTTTGTTTACGTTTAGAACTGGTTTTCTTCAGTTATATGTCAGCCTGAAACATAAGCAATACAGTTGCTGCGCGAAATTTGCTACCCAGGATATTTTTCTCTCCACTTATTTCGAATCAATTCGTAGCTATTGCCTCATTTAAGTAAATGCTTCAAGTATTAAATCGATTAACGCTCTTTCTGGTGAAAGAAAACATTTCGGTTTATTTGTAAACAGTTAACTAAAGAAAAGTTTTGAAAACTGCAATGTATGTGTATTCCACTTATTTTTTTGACAGAAAATACTATCCAAGTCCAAAATCGAATTTCAATAAGAATAAACAGATTTCGTAAAATGTAGAGCCCAAGCGACTTGACAGATAAACATAAATGACATTAGACACAATCAGCTGCAAAAGTAACGCGGTTTCCATAATTTAAGGAAAGTTAAAAATACTATATGTTAATAGGAAAGTGATAATTATAAGCTACACTGAGACTCTAGAGCCATGGAAAGAAATGACGTTCACAGTCTTATTTCAGTATGCTTCGTCTATCCACTAAAAGAGTCTATCACGGTGATGTTTGTTGAACGTACTTTAATAGTGTAATAATTACATCAACTAGTGGAATTTCATAGTGATTTAATTCGTTGTCAGAAGGAGAGATTTGTTGCATATGCTAAAGACTTTCTGTAGGTAAAAGTTGTTTGCAAAAGAGAATTATTTTAACATAGGTTAATCAACATAGAAAAAACAGTATGCTGACGTAAATTTATCACTTGATAACTTTATTTACACAAAATGGTTGGGAAATGCTTCACATTACACCCTGATATGATTATTTGCCACAGTGAAATATTTACTGTGGGACAAGGAATCAGTTATTTGTATACTTATGCTGGTATACTTATTATGCGGTAACTTGAAAATACTTATAAATAACATCTCAAAACTCCTCAATGAACGTGCCTAATGTGGAGCAGTGTTTCGTAGTACTTTTCGCAGTTTATCGTGAAACTGGTCACTGAGGATATACTAATTATCTGGGGCACAGTTGATGCCTAAATCTGCAATAGTTACACTGAATCTAGGGAACAGTTGAAACAAAATATGGATAATAACCTGATTTCATATTTTGTTGCAAATATATGGTGACCAGTGGTGACTTAAAGTCTGAAAATACAATTTCATTAAACCACTTCATTCTTCACGAAGTCCACTGCAATATTCTCTGCCATATACAGTCTGACAAACGAGTTCCAAGTGTCGTTGTATGAAACACCTGTTTGTGGTGCTTCATCACCATGTGTGAAAAGGAATGATAACATATATTACTGGCTGGTTGGTATGTGTATTTTTTCATCTAAAAGATTTCGGCTTCCAAAGGAAAGTGAAGTGGTGGAGCTTCATCTTAAACTGGGTTTTTAAAAGTCGCGAATTAATTTGCCGATTGCGAATTCGGTACATGCCAAATGGAGTACTTCTTTATTCTAAGTCTTCTTCAGGAGGTTTGGACGACTGATGTCACACTAGTTGTACCTGTATATTAAGTTTGATTCAAGTAGGAGAGCTATTTAACAGATGCATGCAGTTTACACGATTATATTTGTCCACATAACTCTACGTTTTTCAGAACTGAACTATTATGTGAATTATTTATTCTTGTGTTTGCTATCTTACCGCTGTTGATTTTCATTTACTGCATAAATCTATGGTCACATAGTGCGTGCATTTACTTACTTACATAACCTATCAAGCTAATGTATGAACTTCATAAAATAGCAGTGTTTATTAAACTGTAGCTATACACCAGGTTTCTTTTAAGGTATAAAATATTTTTACTTAAGGTTAAGTTATGAAATATTAGTCAAAAAGTCAAGCCAGTTGATGAGGTTGTCAATCACTATGTGCTAAGTTTAGGGTAAGCAATATGAGTGCTAAGCATACCTACTCACGGCTTTTCTAAAGGAGAGATGGTAGCCGAAGTAGTATTACTTCAGTATTATACTGAATGGATGTTAAGATCGACTAATTCAAAATATTGCATCACTTCATGACGTCGATATATGTAGGATAGAGGGAAACAAAGAGATATAAGCTGCCTGAATGAGGCCAAAGTGATGCTAAGGATCACTAGTAGATGACTTTAGTGTAGCTGAAGTTTAATAATAGTGCGAGGATGGATTCACCCCTTCTCATATTCCTGATTCATTAAATCTTCACTAAAAATCATTTAATTGTCCACTTTCTCATACATATCTGTGTCACTTGCAGCACCACCAAGTTTCTGTTGTTTTAAATTGTACTTTATTTCTGTATTTACTGAAACCTAAACCAGCACGCTTCCTCGCAGCCTGTACTGTAATTCGTTAGTTGTTTAATCAATGAAGTTTGACTATTAGACTGAATCCAAATATACACTGTAGTAAGTCCTGGAGATCCACTTGAATTAATTATATATGTGGACAGAAGTTCAAGTAAAATACCAACAGACAAGTTTTTATTTGCCCTCTTTATGTTTTTATTCAACGGTTAAGTAAATTTCCAAGTGACTGGGGTGTAGGAAGAATTTCACCAGCCTCCGAATCTCTCCGATTTTCAGGGGTGATCGTTTTCTCTTCCTATGAAATAGGTTTGTTAAGTCAAGAAAATGAAAAATATTCAAATGATGAGGCGTTACTAGTAAATACAAAATTTATTAACTGATTGAGGAGTGTTGGGTTAAAATGTCTATCTTTTATTGAATAGAAAACCAAAAGTTAAGTATTCTACTGCATCAAGCATCTACCTCACAGATTTCTGTAATAATGGTGATTTTGTTTCGATAAACCGTTTTGAAATGCTTATGCTCATTTGTTTGCGTTAATCTGATTGAAATGAAGAATATATACTTTTCGGTGATCTAAATGCCATATAATGAAGCTTCATTGGGTTGTCTAAATCATATATGCTCGCAAATCCTTTCTCACTAAGTACTTTTTAAACTTGAACAAAGCAAAAAACAACAAATATAGCAGGATAATGTGAACTCACGTCTCATTTTGTTCATGGGTTCTTTTCAACAACCTGCATCCTGGAAAATTACAAAAAATATCTGGACATACTTTTGTGTGTTGACATGGAGTACTTAGTAAGAACTATAGGCAACGTAAGTCCGGGATAATGTATGCAGTTAAATTATTAAGTGTTGTAGCATAATTAGACAAATACTTTTGAAAAAATCCTGAGGTTAAGATTTTAGATTGAATGGAAATTTAACTAGGAAGAGCATTTCAGTAGAGCAGGTTGCGTAACTACAAAAAGTATTTATATTAAATAGAAGAAAGGAGTAAGGTGAGTGACGTTCAGATAAAAAAATTGATTAATGGGAAAGGAGATCTAGACGAATGCGTGACGTAATAATGAAATAATAATTTTTGCTCAACCCTTTTGAGCTCATATTGTCCCGCTACATTTGATTTTTGCTCTAAGTAAATTTATTAGACATAAGGAATATATAAATTATGTTTTAGTTTATTTCTGAAGTGTTGGTAGCAGACACATCTTGTTATATTTTAGTATTCAGCATTACCGATAATAAAATGCCCCACTGTTTGATTTTACTTATAGGGTTACACAAAAGCTGTTGATTGGTGGGCAACTGGTGTTTTAATATATGAGATGGTTGCCGGTCATCCGCCGTTTTTCGCTGACGAACCAATCGAAATTTATGAAAGGATCGTAATCGGAAAAGTAAGTTAAAACAACTGCACACTTCAATATGACGTTGAACCATGTGGATTTTTTCGTCTAGCTGTTTTAAAATGGCTTACTTAACATTAAGTAAATATCATACTTTGACTAAGAGGAATAAAACATTTACAAAACTCAGAGCTAGGAAATCTAATTTCATTTAGCCCTTTCCACTTTTCTTAACTGCTAGTAACTAAAAATAGATCCAACTGAAAAATTTACTGAAAACAGTTTCATACTCCAATTGGTCCTTCAAAAGAGATATTATTATCGTCTAACTGAAAACACAAGGATAAAAAACAGTTTCACATTTTGTTAATGAGATTTTCGACAAGTCGAGGAACTGGATAAACCTCTATAATTAAGAAGGAAAGTTGGACAGTCAATGAAAAGTATTTTTTTATTAAATAATAAAACGTAAGCATGTATATTAGGAAGGGGTGAATGAACTAAAAAGATTTGTAATAGCTAAAAATAAAAAGTTTAGACGTCAGATAAATAACATTCAAATTATGGAATGCCCAAAAGTTGACTTTGTTTTGAAACTAATCAAGAAAAATATTTTTTCTGATATATAGATCTCATGTATTTGATCACTAGTTTCAAATAACTGGATGGGACGAAAAATGGTTATTATCCAATTTATTCCGGCAAATTTGTTTATCTGTGAGTATTGTATCACTACGGATGGTAGCTTGATAGGCACTAGTATAAATAAAAAGTGGCCTTTTCTTATTGGGCCTAATCATGCGTGTTAAACTGGATATTTTAGTTGTAATTATATACTGTACTTAAAACAGGTATTTTAGTTGGACCACTTTCTGCTAAGCAAAATATATGTTATAAAGGTAATTAGGTAACGACATTAAAACAGTATAAAAACATGGAAATAACGAAATATGTGACATTACTTGTTTTACAGAAGGACTCTGGTATGATTAAAAAAATCGGTATCTCAGGCAGATATGTTTAAGTACTTCTGTGACTTGAATAACATATTTCAAATAATACATTTGATGGTCACTTAAAAAATGAATTGGGCTTTTCGAATTTTATATCAGTTAAACATCTACCAAAAATCTTATAATGTTCACTTTTATATATAAGTATACTATTCAATGTGTGTGATTAATAATCACCATTGTAAATTTTATCCCTCACAGAAAAAGAACCAGTAAAGGTCTAGAAGTCATTCATTAAAAATTCATATATATATATACAATTTTGATGGGCTCATTTTAGTGCTTAGCCAGTATTTATTGTATCACTGACTGTGTAATTAACCTATTTTATCTTCCTGTGTCTACTACAGGTAGATAAAATCATACTTCGCTCATATTCAATGAACTACACCTGAAATATCTAGTTTCTAGTTTGAATTCAATTAAAGCTAACTAATTATCTTTTCCTCAGTGAACCTTATATTTCTATGTTTAAATATTGATGAGGGGCTTACGTATATTTTCAATTCAAACAATTCATTGAAATGGCAGTCTGTCATCCCAAACCCCGTCTCTTATTCTTAGCATAAATCATTCTGTCCTGACTGCTTATCTTAACTGAATAAGACTGATTGGTATTGAAATATTTCTGACTAAAAGTTGGCTTCTTTTACAAAGTGAACAGACATAAGTGATCAAAAGGATAAATTAATTTCTGCATGTCATGAAAAATTAACCTATGCTTTGTTGACAAAGATGATGTGTATAAACCACTTGTATTTCCATTTACACTGTATATTTTTAGATATCAAAAGTAAAAGTAGTTTCGAAGATTTTATAAAGTGTGCAACTAATCTTGATTATACTAACTAGTGTAAAGGGAAAAGACATACAGTAACATAGTGCACACTATATTTTGTAGTGAAGTTAAGCGAATCTTCACAAAGTCAACAAGTAAAAATGTGAATAAATCCAGAACAACAGCTTGTTCAGAATAATGTAGTGCTATCATTTAGTTCTTTGCCTTCTCATTAACTGCTTGCAGCCTAAATAAATTAATAAGTTTATGAACAAAAAATTTAAACATACTTGCAAATTTTACATGATGTTAGTTGACAGCAAGTACTGGACTTAGTGAACAGTGCTCAGAAAATTACGCTAAAGTTTAAACAAAGTAACTGCATGCATACAGTGGTAAAGGAGTTACGTAATAAAGATGGGAGATACGTAAGATGATGAGTTACTAATAAATAGCGTAACAATGTACTGAGTTCAACTCAGAATATAGAAAAAACAGACAAACAAAATTACATTATGTAGTTTCTTTACAACCACTTTACAACTAACATGGTTAATAATAATCAAATAAAGTTCATGACAAATACTCATCTCGCGAAATTTGTCTTCTTAATGCCTTATTCAAATTTACCAAAAGGACTAACTGTTTTAAAATTACATTATATCAAATGGAAGAGAAGTTAAAGTCGGAGACTACGTAAGCAGGTGAAAGGGGGAATAAAGACATCCAGTTACCATTATGGGAAAGGAAAGATTGATAACTGTTTCTTTCTGAACACATAAATAGGGTTTCAGGTGTTTGACAGAGATTGCTTTGGCAAACTTGAGGATAATTGAAATATTTCGACTTTTGATAATTTGAAAGGATTTCGTAATTTACACCTCATAATCCTGGTAACAACACCATTGTAAGCGTTTGTTCCCTTGAAACATAGGATTTTCGGTGCATGTTCAGAAAATAGCAGGTGTGTCCTTCTTTCTGTTCTACCAGTATAAATGCTCCAGCAAACATATGTAAATTTATATAGACAGTTGGAGTTAACATGAGAAGGGCATCTGTCGTCTTTTGATGGCACCAAACAGCATGTTGTCTGACAGACGGGAGCTAACTTAGCTGCAGGATAGACTCAGGCTGGTCACGTACTCAATCTTCTGTTGATTACTGCTGCAACAATTTCACCTTCAAAAACGAGTTGAACGAAGACAGGCTTTTCTCCCACTGTGATTTGTTTGATGTTTGAGACTTCACCTCTTCCATATTTGTTAAGGAATCTCTGTGAGAAACCGTTACTTTTCAATGTCTCTTACTGCACCACTGGGTGGCGCGTTTCTGAATCCCAGAAGGAACTTGAGGTTGCAGACACGTCTTGCTGACGAGTGCCAACTAGCGCGAAACCTAGGTCCAAGGTTTCCTGTTAACTGCTTTCAACCATCTCATATCAACAATTCAAGGTCCATTGTGATGGCGAACTACCTAGAATAGTGGCCACATTGAAAACCTGACTAATAGAATTCAGTTTGCACCAAACAAAGGACTAGTTACATCACACCAGTTACTAGTGTCCAATGAAAAAATTTTAAGTTCCTCCTCTAATTTCTCTGTAGAGCATATTCTCCTTGCTCTTTGGTACGGGGTCTTGACTAGTTCTCGTTTCAAGCTATTTGGACAAACCTATTAAATACAGGTATTGTTCATTTCACGTGGGCTTTCGATAAATTGACCTCTAGATACCAACATCTTTCAAGGGTTGAATGGCAATGTCAAGGAAGTGGAACTTTCCATCATTTTCATGTTCTATATTAAATTCAATATTTGTATGTGAGTCTCTGAATAATCAGAGTAGGTAGGAAGCATAACTTTCATTGTTGCTCACTACAAATGTGTCATCTACATATCAGCAATTAGAAGTTCTTTCGTTGATTGCATGCTTCAACTTTGCTTTCGCAGGGTTGGACAAGGCTGTTCTTTCTTTGTTCAAATTCATTAAGGGGAACGAATGGATGATGTAAAAATTTATTTGCATTATTCGCAGTGAATAATAGGTCGAAAAGGAATTTTACTATAAATTTCTACGATCAAGAAAGTAGGTGTTACCTGGATGCGTCATTTAAGTGATCCGACAGGACCTAATTCTTTTATCTTTATTTCTGATGATCTCACGCATCAGGGTAATTTATGCGACATTTTCGTTGCTTCTGCAGGCCAATTTAAATTCATGAAAACTAGATTTTCCGTTTAAAATTTGCTAAAGGCAAATTCTCCCTGGTTGTGTTTTCGATACTTTGCACTATTGAGCACAGGTTTACTGGTGAAGCCAGCCTAGGAGGGAAAAAATCAGAACATTTCCACCTCCTTTTTTGTTACATCCCACCCTTACGAAACAATAAGGCAAACATTCCTACATAATTGTCTAATCATCTGATCATAGTTTTAGTTTTACAGTGCTGGTTTTATTTGCCTTCATCTTCTTATAATTTATTTAAGGATGCATAAAAGCTACTTTATTGTTCTGTTACAAAAATAGCGACCGAACTCCTTTGAAAACATTTTAAGTTAATCTGCTACAACCGTAGTACTCATAGTTATTATTTCATTCCTTTGGGTTCTCAGTGGAACACAAGTCTTCAAGCTTGAACTTTGAAATTCCAGTAGCAGTGGTGGTTTTTTACGGGGTGGGATTGCTGGACTTTCTCCAAACCGTCCCTTTTTGTAGAGATTATTACCAGATAAGGGAGGTAAAGAAGTACACCGTACGGTTATCCAACGCCCGCCCACGTGTACAGTTAACCATAGTAGTACAGAATAATCTGTGCATTTTCATTCATTAATTTTACAATTATGATCGTCAGAGTATTTTGTTTTTGTTTTTGATTACAGCTTGATTCCACACCGTATTTTTGGTACAAGTATGGAATTTTCAGCGTGGATATCGGTAGCCCAAATTTTGCAGGCCGACCATAGATATCAGGTGTGCGTCGGTGAGGGCTCGAACCTCGGACCATGTGCATGGTTGGCGAGAGTCCTAACCACTGTGCCACCGACGCACATTGTAACATAGACAAGTCTTATGCAAGAACGATAGTGTTTATTTACCAATGAGGTATATAGTTGCACTTAATTTAATTTGCATTAACAGAATATCACTTTTTAGAGCATTAATTCCAACTGTCACAGACAACAGTGTAAATACAGAATATTGTTGTGTGTGATGTCAGTTAGTTGTGATATTAACCAAAAATGTATACTGATTTATTATTCAT